CCCCGTCACGTGAGCACAGCTTTAGTATAACCCCACGACTTACTCACTGAGAAACGGAGGCTCACAGAGAGCTAGAAACTTGCTTAGAGCTGTTAGGACAGAAAAAAGCTACAACAGAGGCCCCTGGCACCCAGACCATGACTCTCACTTCCTGGGTCTCCTCCTTCACCCCACAGACACTCCATCGGCACTGCCCAGGCTGGGGCGTTATGGGACAGGGGCCGGGGCCTCCCCACGGGCAGGTCATAGGGCCATCCCACTAGCTGGCGGTCATCCTGCGGGGTCCACCACATGCCCATTTGGAGGGAACGTGATCACTAGACCTGGGCTCCTGCACTGCCCCTGCCTAAGATTGCAACCAGTATTCATTACTTCTTTTTCCTTCCTATGTTGCAGGGTGATCTATGTTATATTCTAATTTAAAAAATTAAAACTTTAAAAAAATCACAACCAGCAGCACTGTGACCTCCCCAGTTGACATTGCCACTCTCATTAGCACCATCCTCCTCCAGAGTCATCACTGTCACCAGCATCAGCGTGTGATGGCAGCCACCACCAAATCCCACCCCTGAAGCTGTCCTTACCCCTAGCCCTTAATAAATGTCTCCAACCTGGCTCCAGAATTCAGCAAAAATGGTCTTTCCCCGCCATTTGCATTTCATTTCTCCTCCCACCCCTATGCTCATTCCAGGATCATGTGACCCAAAGCCCTCCCCAAATCTGCATCCTGCCCTGCTTCCCTACTCCCAAGAGCCCCTGGCCCGGCCTATCCCGCAGAAACCTCAGGCTGGGCTTTGGCCCTGAAGCCTCACTGGGGACTGGCAGTCAGCCAGGGAACCAGGAGGGCAGGAGGGCAAGCAGCCCCCTCCTCAGGCCTAGTGCCCCACCCACCCAGCCGGCTGCCAGTCTGCCTTCCTGAGCTCATTAACTGCAGGTCACTGTTCAGCAGGAAAGACAAGGCGTGGGTTCTCTGGGCGTTCATTAGCCGTGAGAGGAACAGTGTGTGTGAAATTAGCAGTCACCTGAGGACCTCGATAATTTCATAATTAGGAGGCCTAATGGCTCCAGCTCTGGATGGCAAATGACTTAACCCCTTGTCTGCTGGTCACCTAACCCCCAGCCCAAAGTGGAGGGGAGGGCTTGCAGTGCCCCCTCCCCTCCAATCCCTGACTCCCTGTGATCCAATCACATTCATTTCTGCCACTCCAGGGACAGGCACCAGTGCTGGCACAAAAGTGGTGCAAATTCAAAGTAAGTGGAGTGAATGAAGGAATGAATGCCAAACAGGTGTCTGAAAGGCAAAAGAGTCTGAGCCCCCACTGCAGGTGCTCAGGGGAGGAAGGACTCTGCATCTGCATGAGTAGGTGTCGTGGCCGTGTGCACGCCTATGTGCAAGAGCATGTGCCAGCATGAATGCACACACACACAGGTGGGTGTGTGATGCCTGCTTCTGAGAACCTTGCGTGTGTCCTTGCCCAAGCTCACATCTGCTGTCTCCTGTCTGGAAACGGTGCTCGTCATGTGACAGGGCCCCAAGCGCCTCTGTTGAAGCCAGCCTCTCCTGGCACCACCTGAATAATGGTGGCTCCAGAATTTCTACATGGGGGTGCACTGGAGGGAAAGAGGGGGGGTCTAGGGACTTTGCCTTGAACCTGCATTTGCATAGCCATGCACTGTCTTTATTTAAATGAAATATCATTTGGGAAGCTGTTGCTAATGACAGGGGGCTAAAGTCATACCCTTTAACATGGGGGAGCTGGTTATGACAGCTTCCCAAAACCTGAGCCTTTCTCAGCCTACTCCCCCCCCCTCCCAAACTTGCCCTGGTCGGGAAGGGGGAAGGCTAAGGTGCAGGGTGGGGTCCACTGGGCTCCAGGCTGGTGCAAGCCTTCCCCAGCCTGGGACAACTGGTTCGGAGTCTCCAGGGACCCTGCCTCTCACCCCTGATTGCAGAGCAGAAGTGGGGAGGAGGTGAGTGGGTGAGAGGGGAGGAGAATAAAAACGGGAGGAGAGGAGGAATGAGGAGAACAATAAAAGACTAGAGAGGGAGACCAGGAGGGGAAGGGGGAAGAAAGGGGAGGAGGAGAAAGGGTAGGAAGTCCCAAGGAGGTGAGAGGCAGAAGATAAGAGAGAGGAGAGGGGAGGGGAAGGGAGAGGAGGAGAGGCAAGGAGGCTGAGAGCATTATCAGCACTTAAAAAGCGAGCAGCTCAGTTCTTCTTTGGCACAAATAATGGCTTTTTATGAATAAATCATGTGTCAGACGCCTCCCAGGGAGTAGGCATGGAGGGGGGTGCGTCTGCTGGGCTCCATGGCTGGCAGGGAAGGGCCAATTGCAGACCCCCAGAGGCAGGGGTGTTGCCCCCTTTCTTCTGATGGGGCCCAGCAGGACAGAAGCCTTCTCTAGAATCACCACTGGCCTGAGCCAGGCAAAGCTCAGTCATTGCTTTGAGGTGGTCTCGCTGCTCCCTGCTCAGGAGCCTGGCCCATCCCAGGCTGGGAGCGTCCCTCTGCTCCCTTCCCCTCCCACAGCAAAGCAGCCCATGACGCTCCTGGCAGGGGAACATCAGCTCAGCTTGGTGCACCAGAGAGAGAGGTCTACGCCAAGACAGGCGGACACGTCCAGGGAGGAAGGCATGCAGCACACACAGCTCACACAGGCATGGACGTCACAGCCCTGAGCGCACATGTGGGCACACTCAGAGAGGGAGACGCTGTCATTCCCAACACACATGCACAGGCCACACAGATAGATGCATATGGGGCTACATGGACACACACAGACCTACACATACACACGCCAGCAGCCCACCCTCCTTCAGTCAGGGTGGGGGCAGCTTTGCAGCCCATATGGTACCCAGACCCAGCTTGGCTGTCCCAGAGTCTAGATGTGGGGTGGGGCTGGGGCATCTGTCTCAGGGGTGGGTCTGTCAGCCTCAATGTTCTCCCCCCCCCCCAGCAAGGACACTTACCACACCCCAGTGAGGTCTTGCCCCTCAATGAATTGAAGCCTGGAACCTGTACAGGTCCCACTGGCTCCGAGCTCCTTGGTTCCTCTGCTCTCACAGCCCCCTCCCAGAAGAAGTGGGTGCCAAAGGACAGCTGGGGCATTGGAGGTACACAGTCCACACAGAACCCTGGCTCTCCCTTTGCCAGCAGTATAACCTCAGAGTCATTCCAATTTTATTTGCTCCTCAAAACCAATCTGAGACAGGTGTTACTGGCCCATTTTCCAGACCAAGGAAGTGAGGATCTGAGTGTATTGGGCATTTCTTTCTAGGACCACCCTCTTTTCCCAAACTTGAGGTCCCTGGTGTGCTGGTTTTCTTCCTCCTCTCCCTGCAGCTGCTCCTCAGCCTGTGGTTCCTCTTCCCGGGCCACGGTGCTCTAAGGAGTTCATCAGAGCAGACCAGAGTGACCTGTTCTTCCCACTCTGCGCCACCCCATGCCACTTCTAACACCTCTATGACAGTCTCTGTGTTTTTGATTCTCGGACCTCCCTCTCCAGCCCAGACACTTTCTGGGCTTCTGACCCCACGATTCAGCCAAACTCTCCCGATGCCATGTTGCCCAAGCCAGGGAATGCTATTTGCACAGCATATATGCTCCCATAGGACATAACTCATATTGAGCCCGGCTGAGGCCAAGTGCATCGTCTTCTCCAGGGTTCCTCCTGCCCAGAAGTTCTCCATTCAGGGGAGAGTCCTGTCTGCCCAACCAGAAATCAGGCATCACTTGACTCCTCCTTCTCCCTCCCCACATCCAATCCAAAGCAAAGTCCTGATGCCCTTGCTGTATACCCAAGAAGTCTCTATGGGACCTCATCCTTTCTCCTCCAACCCCACTGGCCTCTCCCCCTCCCGATTTGAGTCACCACCAGTCACTGACCCTCCTCCACCGTTGCCCTACTCTGACCCATTTGCTTCCCTGTCATCATTCTTTCATCTCTGCACTTTGACCACACTAAGCTGCTTTTTTGTCCTGGAACCTTCATGATCTGACTCCAGGTTTCTGATCTTGCTGTTCCCTCTGCCTGAAGCTCTTCCGAACTTCCCAATACCAACTCACCCTTCAACACCTGCAGCAATACCCTCCCCCACAGGCATATCCCTGACTCCTCAAGCACAGGATAAATGTAACTGTGTTATATGTTCCCACAGCAGACCCCCGGCTCCTGCACTCATTACAGCTCTGGTCTATAATCACCTATTTACTCTGCTGTGTCCCCTTCAAGCCTCGAAGTTCCTTAAGGGCAGATTGTACTTATGTTGCTCTCTGTGGCAGCCCCAATGCTTGACACAAGACCTGGCAAAATAGGTGCTTAATAAATCTTCCCAATGAATGAGTGAGTGGGTGGGTGCAGAACCTGGGCTGAGCACTTTACATAGCTTTTATTACTCACTCCTCACAAGAAATCCACGCAATCAATGAGTGGTATTATCCCGTGATCTAAACCAGGAAAGCAAAGCTACCAAGGTTGAAAACATGCCGAAGTTCATACAGCTGGTAAAAAAGAGAGAAAAAAAAAAAACAAAAAACCAAGCAGGGAATAGATGGATTCAAGCAGAAATTTGTGAGCCTTCAGAAGCCGCCTTTCCCTTCCCAAGCCCTGCTCCCTTTCCGACCCTGTTTTCTCATCTGTGCAGAACCTATACAGAACCTGACACTAACAGGTTCTCAGTAAGTATCTGTGCCTTCTCTCCCAACTCTGAGGGTCATTCGGGGCAGAATTTCCCCAGGCCGGAAACTTCTGCAGCACGTGTTCACAGAGGCAGGTGCAGAGCTCCACACGGGCACGTCCCGGGAGTTCCGAAAGCAGGAGGCGCTTAAACGATGTGCGCCGAGCAGACAGACAGGCAGAGGGGAAGGCTGACACACACACTCAGACACAGAACCACGACAGGGACTCTGGCTCTGGAACGCCCGCCCCCAGGATCCCTGCCAGTTATTCTCCTCCCCCGCCACTCCCCCTGCTAGCCCAAGGCGCGGGAAATATTTAAAACAATTTTATTCATGAAAATATGCTGTACAATGCACTCTACACGGCCTCGACACGGCACACACGCACACGCTGACGGCACGGCCACGGTACACAGCCTACGATATGCGCCGGGGACGCCGCGCCCACAGCCCGACCCGACACTTATAAATACGCGAGAGAGGAGCCAGGACTGGCACAGAGAAGAAAGGGGTCTGGGGGTTGGGGTGGATCCGGAGCTGAAGCCCGCAGGAGAAGCTGAGACCTGTACTGGGGCGGGGTGGGGTGGGGGGCCTGGAAGGGCGACTGACTCCGAAGGAGGAGGGGAGCAGCTGGGACTGACAAGGGGGGCAGGGCTGAACCATGAGGGTGGAGGGCCGAAGGAGGACAGCTGGGGGTGCACAGCCAATAGGCAGGTGTGAGTGTGTTTTCGGGAAGGGGGTGCTGGCTTCCGGTGGGTGAGGCTAAGACCGGTGAACAGTGTCGATTGGGAACCAGCTCGGAGCTGGGGTGGGGCGACTCGCTACCGCGAGGGCCCCCCACAAAGGAAACGCAGATTCAGAGACACCGAGGCTGAGTTGCCTCGCCCCATTTCCGGGCTGGCTTCTCCGACCAGCGCAGCCCACCTCGCCCCTCCCCACCCCCACCCAGCCTGGAATTCAGCCTCCACCCCCAGGCTTCCTGCCCCGGGAGTAGGGGAGCGGCTATCGGGAGTCTGGGCAGGAATGTGGGGCGCCCCAGCCCCTCCCTGCCACTTCCCCCGGCAGCCATCTTCTGAGGGGTGTCTCTAGCAGGGCCGGGCTGCCTCCTGGATCCTCTCTGGAGCTGGAACGGGGGTGGGGACCTGGGGATCAGGACGGGAAGACGGAAGCCCCTTGGGGGCGGGGCAGACGCCCGGCGCGCGGAAGCGGCCCCTCAGCCGGGTACCCAGCTCTGGTTGGGGGGCGGGGCCCCGGCCAGGCCAGGCGGCGGTGGAGGCAGTGCCGAGTCGAAGTTGAAGTCCATTTCGTCGCTGTCCATGAAGTCGTTGAGGATGATGGACTCGACGTCGCACTCGAGGCTGCCGCTGAACATGTCGAGGTCCAGGTCGGCCGGGAAGCGGTCTGGCGCGGCACCCAGTGGCCCGGCGGCGGTGGCGTATGGCCCCGGCAGTGCTTCCAGTAGGAGGCCACCGGGCGGGCCCCCGAAGGCGGCCGTGTGGCCAGGCGGCGCCAAGCTCGCGGTGCCCGCCTCGCCGGGCAGCGTCATAAGGCTGATGGGGTGAGCTAAGGCACTGCGCGAGGGCACCGGCGGCGCGTACGGGGCCGCGCCCTTGCCGGGATAGGCGGGAGCCGCGCCAGCCAGCGCCAGCTCCCCGGGCGCACCCAGCACCGGGCCGGGGCGTGGCGCGGGTGGCGGCGGGGGCGGCAGCAGCGTGGGCAGCGCCCCGGGGCGGAAGGACGCGGCGGCTGGGGCGAAGCTCGCCTGCTTGTTCTCCTGAATGGTCTGCATGGGTAGGCGGCGCAACGCTCCCAGCACCTGTGGCCCGAAGCCTCCACCCCCGCCGTAGGCACCGCCCTTGCAGCCCCCGAAGTAGGCAGGCGTCCCGGCGCGGGCCCGTGGCCCGTACGCGTCCTGCGCGCTGTCCAGCAGGGCCTCGGGTATCCCCGCGCCGCCACCGTGCAGGCCTATACGGCCTCCCAGCTCCGCCAGGCGAGGCATTTCCCCCGGGCAGCGCGCACCTAGCGCGGGTGACAGCGCGCTCGCCGGACTCGGGTACATGAGCGGCGACGATGGCGCCAGAGCCTCCAGAGCCTCGTCATCCTCCAATTCGGCCGCTTCCGCGAGCAGGGGTCTCCCGCCGCCGCGGAAGTCGGCCCACGCCTCGTAGTCGTCGCTGGCATGCGAGGCTGGGCTGGTGGCCCATTTGGCCGGAGCAGGCACAGGCCCCGGGGCTGGTGCGCCTGGGGGGCTGTCGTCGGGGCTTCGCTCAGGTGCCTGTAGTTGCTTCTTCTTGCTTGCCTTGCCTTTGATGCGCAGGAACTTGGCCCCGTTGTCCATGGACACCGCCCTGCGCCGCGGGGTCTTGCCGGTCTTCCCGCCCTCAGGGTTCAGCATCCACCATGAGCTCTTGCCTGTGCCTTCATTCTGCACGCGGATGAAACGGGTGTGGAGCGACAGGTTGTGCCGGATGGAGTTCTGTGGCCAGAGACAAGGACGTGGGTGGGGGAACGGGAAGTGAGGAGGCCATGAGTATGGGACAGTGATGGATAGAGGAGGGGGAGGAAAAAGAGAAAGGAGAGGATAGAAGAATGGTAGAAGAGCCAGAAGAAGGAAGGGGAGGAAATAGGGAAGATGGAAGGGTGAATGAGGAAAGGGGTTGGGGGTGAGGGGAGGAGGTGTAAGTATCAGGTCAGACAAACTCAGAGTATCTACCTAAAACCCAGAACCATATCACCCCGCCCCCATAGGCACTGCCCAGAAGGTGGGGCGGAGCTTTGAGCCTAGCTTTTCCCAAGAGGCATGGCCAACCCCGAGGGCTACTCTTAAGGGGCCTGCAGCAGGGGAGCAAGACCCCCGTCTCTGGCTCAGCCAAGCCCCACCCTGGAGCTAGCCGGGCTGCCAGGGCCCCCACCCCCAAGCAGATTATGTAAGGACTCATGCCGCTGTGGCTCATTTGTCCGCCCCCCCTTCTTCCCCAGCCTGGCATGGATCCAGGAGCCCGAAAACCCAGGGCTCCAGAAATCAATCTCGTGGTGACTGATTAAGCCCTGTTTAGAACTAATTGCTCTTTCGTGTGTGGGGAGAATAAATTACCTGCTTTAATTTCGTGTCTTTAAAATGCAACTGCAGGTAGAGAAGACTGTTAACCCTTTGCTGGGAGGGCCGGGCCAGGGAAAGCAGAACAGGCTGGGCATCCCCACAGCAGGTGGAGGCCTGACACTTTCAGAGATTTCCCCCAACTCTTCTGAGCTCCTGTGAACTCTCCAGAGGCCTTGGATCCCAGCAAGCCCCTTAATACACATCTCTGGGCACAGCAGTCTCCCACCCCACTTCTGCTCAGTGCCCGCCTTCAGGCCAAACCAGCTCTCAGGCGCCCTTTGGGTTACAGCATCCCCCTCCCCAAAGTCCCTTCCTGGTGAAATCCTCACAAACCTCCACAAAGCAGGTGGCAAAGTGCCCACTTACAGTTAAGAAGACTGAGGCTCAGAGAAGTGAAGTGGCTTGCCCAAGGCCACACAGCCCTTCCTGCTGTCCCGGGTACTTCCCTGGGCTTCACATCTGTCCCCCCTGCACAAACCTCTTCTAAATGTCTTTTGCACCAGCCTGCAGTGCTCCCCCTATCACTGCCTGCCTTTGCCAGGCCTGTCCTGGGGACAGAGGAAGGTAGGAAAGGCCAGGGGCGACTGACTTCACAGGAACCTGTTGGGCCTGTCACACCCCACCTCTGGGTCTTGACCTCCTGGCTCCAGTACAGAAGCAGAAACAGCATGGGCTTGGGCTGCAGAAGGCTGGTCAGGACGTTTGGCTCCTTTCAGCCACCTAGTTATGTGACCTTGTGCGGTTGACTTAACCTCTATGAGCCCCAGTGCCTTAATGAACTAACCTGAAAAAAAGTGGGTGACGTTCAGTAACCACCTCATTACCTGAGATGTGTATGGGTGTTTGGTGAACACACCAGGTGCTCAGAAACGGTTAAACTCCTCACCCTATCCATCCTATCCGGAAGACCTCACCTCTTAGATCACCAACAGACCTGCTCTGTCTGCCTCCTTTCTACTGCACTGAGTGTAACTGTGCTGGGCACCAACACTCTAGGAAGCTGGCATTACCCCATTTCAGGGACCAGGGTGTGGAGGCCTGGAAGCATGATGTAACGTGCCCACGGTCCCACAGGCAGCACTGCCAGGCACCACTCCTGACGTGCCCAGCTCACCGACCTGTCTCCACCCAGCTATGTAACCACTGATCCATGACAGCTGCCCCTCCTGCCTCCTTCCCATCAGTGTCCAGAGGAAGGGCCCTTTCTGCTACCCAGGGTACCCTCCCTCAGCCGAAGCTCCAAGTACTGACCTGATTCTTCAGGGCCCCAGGTGCCCTATCTCTGGTACTGTCTGGTCTTAGAAGGTGACAGCTGGGCTCCAAGGCCCCTCCCAATGTTGCCCTGCAAGGCTTCTCCTGGGACCCTGAGAGGAGAGGGAGCTGGACCTCCAGGGAGTGGTGTTCCCTCAAGTAGATACCCCCTTTCCCCCCGCTCCCGCCCCTGCACCTGCCTCCCCAGCCCCTCCCCCACACCTGTGTTCAGAGCCTCGGAGGCCTCAGTTCTCCCATATGGGACTATCTGGCTTACAAGGCTCCACCTCCCAGCTTCTCCAGCTGAAGGTCAGTCAGGCAACACCTCTATATCATTGTCACTGTGTGCCAGCCTAGTTCTGAGTGCTCAAGGGTGGAGGGAAGAGGAAGGACATCAAGTACCGGCCCCTACTCCGCACTACCTGTTCAGCCCAGGATGTGTCCGTACTTTATCTCGAGTAACTTATCAAACTCTGTACAAGTCAGGGATTGTGATCCCTATCTCAAGATGAAGAGAGTGAGGCGCAGAGAGGTTAAGGAGGCTGTCAAGGTCACACAGTTTAAGTGGCAAAGCCAAGTATTGATTTCAGGTTAGTGTAGGGGTGTCAAACTCATTTTCACTGGGGCCCACATTAGTCTTGCAGTTGCCTTCAAAGGGCCGAATGGCCGAATGTCATTTTAGGACTGTATAAACGTAACGACTCCTTAACGGTTAAGTGAGAGCTCAGCACTGCCACTGGGTAGATGCAAGGTGCCAGGCTGGATAAAACAGGGTGCTGGGCCGGATTCGGTCCTCGGGCCTTGTGTTTGCCAATTGTGGATTAGTGTCTCTGGGTCTAAAGGACGTGGCACTCCACCATGGGAGAGAGGACTGAGCCGGAGAGTTTCCAAAGCACCTTAGGAAGCCAGTACTCCAGCACTTCTTAAACTTTCCATGTACACCTGCCCTAGAAGTTGGCAGCACGGGAAGACTGGGGGGCATGTCAAAAAGTCAGACTTCCTTACAAGTCTTGTGCTTTCTTTTTAGGATTCAAGGGAATTTTGCATTGTGCTTTATAATACATCCAAGTTTTCTGAGTACAGATAAAAATGTCTGGGCCTATGAAACTTTGTATCCTCCCCTGTCTGTGCCCTGCTCAGCCAGGTACCACTGGATGCCTGAGCTCCAGCCTGAAAGCCCAGCTGATCAGACCCAGAGAGAAGAAAGGTCTTGCCCAAAGTTGCCCGGGACCTGGCAGCAGAGCCGGGAACTGCATCCCTAGCCCCTGCTCTTCCCCCTCCACCGACCTGGGCAAGTCCCTCATCCATTCTGGGCCTCAGTTTCCCTACCTGTAAGCTGACCAGATGGGCCAACTCTACTCTGAGGACCTTTTCTATTTGATAATGAAAGTTCCTGGAATCATCCAGTCCAGAGGTTCTGAAACTTTAAAAAAAGATTTTGACACTTTCTGTGAACAGAAGAACCTAGGAAAATACTTGAGTGTTACACAGTCAAGCCATCAGAGGGCGGGGGCAGGGGTGCCTGGAGCCCTGCCTGCTCTGCACCCTCTTGCACTTTCCCTTTGGGAGGGATTCTGCAGGCCAGATGGATGGGCAGTTGGGGCCTAGATGGGTGCCACGCCTTGCCCAGAGTCCCCCAGGGAGGAGGCCCAGGGCCGGGTGAGGACCTCGGCCTGTGACTGCTGAGCCAGGCCCTACATTTGGTGTGCACCAGGGCTGTGCCCCAGGAGGGAAGTCCAGGCACTGCAGCCTAGTGTGGCTCCTCAGGGCCCAGCCACCTGGTACCAGTCACAGCTCCAGGCCAAGATCCAATGGCAAGCACCGATCACATCTCACCCATGAGGCCTCCTGGGAGGCCAGAGGCCACAGAGGAGGTGAGGGTGGCAGAGGAGGGAGATGCCTCTGCCAGGCAACAGTAACCAGGGCTCCCTCTTGGAGTCACCTAGCAACCCGCCACCACAGCCATGCCCTGGCATGCCCAGGCTCCCCTAGTGCCCAAACTGCGCCAGCTTCTGGGGCCTCACACCTCCAGACAGACCTGGAGGTGGTTCCCCAGGGAGACAGGACCTCCCTGATTCTGGGCCTAAGGGAGACCATCAGGGTCAGAGGGAAGGGACAGTGGCCATCCATCCCTTGCCCATCCCACTTTCCCTCAGAACCTAGTCCGAGGAAGTCAACCTCCAGGGGCCTCACCCACCAGAAAGGAGGCTGGCGTGGGACAGAGGGTGGGCCCTGGTGTTCATCTGGCTTCTAGTTTTGGCTCCAACAGCCACAAACCACGTGGCCCTGGATTAAGATGTTTTGACCTCAATTTCCTCAAATGGCCCCTTGCTTCTGCCTTCACTTCCCTGCGGACCTCCCTCCACTAGGCAGCAGCCAGTGACCCTTTGGTGTCACTCAGAACCCTGCAATGCACCAGTCTCAGACCCAAGAACAGAGAAGCCTGGCAGGAACCACAAGCCCCTCCGTGGCCTCAGACTCCGCCCCTGACACTGTCCTGCTCCATCCCTCCCTCTGTTCCTCCAGCCTCACAGGCATGGTCCTGCCTTGGGGCCCCTGCCTCAGGGAGCCACCGTTCACCCCGCTACCTACGTCAGTCCCTCATCTCCTTTGAGTCTTTGTCCAGACGTTCCCTTTCAGGAGGCCCATCCTAGCCACTTTAACAATTGCTCTTCTTCCCTGTCATTTCTTGCCCCACTTGTCCTACTCTAAATTTTTCTAAAGCCATCATGTTCTAAATTAATATATAATTTGCATATATGGAGGCAATATACACATTAATAAATTGCATGTTGTATGTATAAACATATAATTTAGCTCCTCTATTATTTGGTTTTCCTTATATTAGAATATAAGTTTCATGAGGGATTTTTGTCCATTTTTTACTGCTCTGCATGTGTTTGATACACGTGAGGAATTTAATAAATGTGTGTAGAATGAATGGGGGGGAGAGAAGAGGGAGGGAATATTGTGTTGCAGGGAGAATGAATGAGGCTAGACAGAGTAGCTGGCACATGACAGGGCTTTCTCCAAACTGGGCTGACAGAAGACAACACAGAGTGAGAGACTGCGGGGTGGGGGAGTTGGAAGGGTGTGCTCCGCAGCGAGAACTGCGGAGAAGAGTG